ACACAAATAAGATTTTTTAAACTCTCATTTGATTTCAAAATGCGCCACTTATTTGTTAACTTTGAAACCCCCTATTAATACTTCTAAAATATTATTTATGTCTAATTGTTAATCAGACATATGAAGCATTTTTAAAATGTATATATGAAAGATATAAAGTTCAAAGAAAATTCACGATCGTAAAAAGTATTAATTATTATTATTACTGTATTATATAATTAAGCTTACAATAAATTTATGAATCACTGTTTCAAAATAATTACATCACTAATTTAATCCGAAATTGGAAACCATAAGCATTAGGATTGAATCACCCTAATAGAGTAAAATATATGGGTAATTATTTTCGAACCCGGACCAATTTTGTAAGTTACACAGTATACATATAACATATTTATTTTTATTAATATTAAATAAATATAATGAAGCAAGGCTTGCATGGGAGGAAGATAGCCGGACCCAAAGCCATTATTAGCTATCACCTTTACTTTGGGCCTTGCTTCAAACATTATATTATATTGTTACATTTTGTAAATATCTTTGTGAAAGTCTAATTCTAGTTTCTAATACTTGTTTACTTTTTACACCTACTACATCCGGAACATCCATATTTAAGATTTGTTTCTTTGGTGCATATTTTGTTTTTCTGCTGTCTTTAACAGTTTTCATTTTATAATTAACCTCCATATAGTCTATATCGATTAATGTGCTTAATGTAGAAGCATAAAGTTTGCCATCTATTCATACAAATGATTGATAAGATTTAAAGTTGTCAACACATAATCGATAGATATTTGGCCGACGTTGTGTTCGCGAATAAATATCAAAATTTATTATTGGAGTTTTGGAATTAATATGATTTTGATTGGTTTTTTCTTGAAAAAAACCAATTAAATCTTCAATTGTATAAATATTTCGTGTAGCTTCTCCTTCTGAGAGCCACCGAGATAATACACCAAAATGACCATCCACAATACTTTTTCCATGATACTCTGTAAAATAATTTAAATAAATTTTTCCTTGACATACTGAAGGTATATAACGAAAAAAAAATTCATAAGTTCAGCTGACCGAAAGTGAGGCCCACAGTCTGCCCAAAAACAAGCTTCTTGAAACCTTGACATAAAAGGATGATTCAGAAGCTTTGTAATACAATCTATAACAAACGACGAATCATGATTTAAAATATCAGAAAAATAATCAAAGTATTGTGTATGTAAACTTTGATCAGGTTCACGATAACACACTGCAAATCCAAGAACAGATACTTGTATTTTTTCAAAAAAATTATTTCCAGTTTCAATTGGACCCCCACCAATCCTAATATTTTCTTTAAAGTCCATCACAATCACACAAGATGAGGTTGTTGTATGTTCAATTGATTGTTTATAGAAGTAGTTTTGTTGATCTTTAAAATTACAATGATAATGATAATAATTAACCATTTCATGTAACTTTTCAATAACATTAGGTGTTATTGACATTGTAGACGTAAGTATACAATACTGGGCAAAAATTGTTGAATAACGGTAATTTGGCTCAAACGGGCAAATGATTGGCTGACATGTG